AGGCAGCTCCTAAAATTCTTATAAAAGTTGAAGAAATTCTTGGGTTTGTAGCGAATTTTACGTGGAAGAGAAAAAGAAAACCTGAAACCATACTTCATTTCGTGATATTTCCCTCAAATTCAACTTATTTGTATACATTTCATGGATGTTATCAAATAATTTTCAGCTTTTATGTTTTGTGATTTCACATACTTATGCAAATTTAATTTACCTATATTATATAATATAATTAATAAAAGTAAATTTTACATGTCCATTTTCACTTTTGACATGTCACTTTTCACATATGACATGTCACACCTCTGACGAGTCACACCTACAATTTTATTATACCGAATGAAAGCTGCTTTATGTATGCTACTTAATTTACTTCGACGCGATTCATTCACCCAGTAGTAGCCTTTTAATGAATAATATGAAAAATAGTCATATATATACATTTTAAATGGAAACTTTTCTTGTCATCAAAAAGAATTACCATGAAAATTAAATAAATGAACAAAAAACTTTATATAATCCTGACTGTAGGTACAGAAATGAAAAAAAAAATTAAACCGTGCGTTTGTTATCTTTTAACTATCATAGGTGAAACTTTTCAACGAGTCATTCTAAGTCCTCATTTCGGAGCCTTTCAGCAAACATAAACCTACACAAATCCAGAGAAGTGACTCCAAAAAACAAAGAAAGTATATTATGTTTCGGAATGCATTAGATAAATAATAATTAATATTAGCAAGAGTTTTTACAATCACTTATAACACTACAGAACGACATAGGTATGACTGAAATGAAATAAATTAGACAAAAGACAGCGTGGGTAAAAAAATAGCAGTACCTCTGTGGTACAAGAATTAGACACAATGATAAGGAAGAAGTATTTCCTTCAATGATGTCTTGAAACAAAACGAAAAATTGCAACTTACCCTAAAGCGTTCCTTTACAATCGCTGTCACTTTCGAAATTGTAATGTTTTGCATGAAGAATTTGTGGAATGTTAGCGAATCAAAAAAGCTCAGATTAAGTCTCGGCTTCAAAAAACACATTAAGTTTTTTGATTAAGACTTCTCAAAAAATTCATTCTGCAATTACACGTGGCTGCCTTTTGGCATTAAAACTCCCGATGATTTTGCATTATTGATCTCAATTAGGGGACACGTGTTAATTAATTCTTGAATTTTTAAACGAAATCAGTGATTGACTTCCTTTTAAATTATTTAAAATGAGCTCGTCTTGAATCCCATACATTGAACAGTGCAGCCGGGTTTAGTCTGAGTGAGTTAAATTGATTGTCTTCTGTCGTCGTAAAATTTCTAATCGGAGTAAATTTAGGTTGTCATGATTTTACATAGGAAGTTAACTAGGATAATTGCATACCAAATTGCCCTAAAATACGTGCGTTTTTCATGCTTCAGTTAAAGAAGATGGGGCACTGCAGAGTGATGTGCTTGAAACATTAAGGGATTTCATTTTTTAATTTATCGGATGAAAGTTGGATGAAACATAATATTTTTTATAGATTAAGATCCGTTGGATGGAATAAGGGCGATGAAATCAGAAGCTTAACTCACGAGCTGAGGCTAGCGTGACAACGAATAATTATGCCGATAATGGCTTTTCTTCACTTCAAATCGCTCAATCTAAAAGCCTGTCTTTCGAACTTCTGTAATCCTTAGCAGTCAAATCGATTTGGCTTATTGGTAGGAATAGCATTAAATCAAGTTAAAAACTAATTTTTAGCAAAATTATTCAATGATTTCCTTGAAATTCATGAAAGCAGAGCACAATTCAATTACCCAGTCTTCCGTGATTCATCGCAGGGCATTCATGCTGAAAATTTATTATACATTATCTGCAAGTAACAATTTTCTGCTAAAAATTTCGTTCCCCAAAAAGTTCCGTAGCGTGTGGGATATTTTCCTTTACCCGTCGATGAATCGCAAAATCATGGATATTCTCAGCCAAAGCCAGCAGCAACTTCCATGCAAAGATGGCGGAAACTTTATAGTCGAGCACGAAAAAAATTACTGTCCCCTCGCATAAAAAAACCATCGTGTGTCAACGATCGAATGACAATCAAAAATATTCTAGACCATCAAATTGTTTACTGTCAGTTTTCCCTAAAATTGTTAGAGGAGTTCAAAATTGCAACGAAACACTAAAATTCACCTCGGAAAACCCGTCACATATATTTGCCATTTGTAGTCGTTTAATAGAAGCACATCCATGAGAATGTTTCAATATTATTTCGATACCGTTTTCCAAATAAACTCGAATAGAACATTCGGTAAAATGAAATGTCTCCTCAGCTCAATAGTATTTTTTGAGTAAAATCCCAGAACACAACGGAGGGGGAAAGACTTTAGCTTTAGCTTTTAGAATTTAACAGATTAAAAAATTTCTGCAGGACATAACGGCGGGATCATCGGTAGGGGATTGCTGCCAGTTCCATTTCATCATAAACAAGGCAAGCATTATCATCCTGTAAAAATCAACATTATTTAGAAAATGGAAACTGTTCGCCAGCTACCTCAAAGAAAAGGTCTGTTATGTCACATAGCAACTCCAATATAAAGACAATTGCGAGATTATTTTCTGTGATTCTTCAGATAATTTTAGCTTCTCAAAAAACGAGATAAAATAAAAATGAATGTTTCACAACTTTACCCTTTTTCGGACTGCATTGTTACATGATTTACGATCCTAACTGCGAAATTGTGCAGTCTGGCGAGGATTGATTAGCTTGTGAATGACGGAAATTATTGAAAATCGTAAATAGATTAATCATAATCTAAATAATAGTAATGAATTACATGAGTTATCCTTGTAAGGGCATCAGGCTTGCAGTTCCAAACATTCGCTGAAACGTGAACGCATACAATGGTCGGTTCACCTCGTTGGTTCATAGATCAAATCTAATACTTATTTACTTACAATTCCATAATTTTGCCATATTTGGTCAAATCGGATGTAAATAAATAATAAATTATAAGTTATTCGCAATTTTTTTGTACAGAAACTTACATGCCGTTTCAAACGAGAACGCTTGAATGACGTTCAGTAATACTATAATGACTTACAATAGTCGACAAATCACTAGAAATTTAATATTTTTCAGCGGTTTAAGTAGAGCAATAATGTTTTCTAAATCGTGTACTGGAGCTCAATACTTGCATAAAAAAACTTTAATTGTAGCATATTCCTAACATCATTACTACACAACATTGTCAACCTATTTACATACACTAATATGGTTTTAACATATGTTCATCGTCATATAAGCGTTAACAAATAAAAAAATATAGCTTCTTACACATCGTTTCCAATCGCGTTCATAGATTGTTTGAATTTTAAGCACAAACTTCAATATTTAAATGATTCAAATATGCATGTAAATATATGAATTTTTTTATTAATTATTGTTTAAATGACATCAAACTAATCGTATCTTTGCTTCGAATAAAAATACTGATGAACACAACTTATGTGAGAATTTGAATTGAAAAAAACACCGAAGCTGTCTGCATGAGTCATAATAGTTGATTTACCTATGTGAGTGTGGCAATTAATATTGCAGTAACCCAACAAAAATCTGACATGAAAGATACGTTCATTAATCATTGTTCTATCATCATTTGCCCGAATAGCATCATTTTGAATGCAGACGAGGAAGATTCTACCTCTAGGAAACTTATCCCTCTGCCCATTAATACTCACATGAAACCCTTTCGTAGAGCTAACACTTCTCAGGGACTTCATTAGATGAATTAATTCGCCTCGCTTTGGAGGGACATCGCTCGGAGCTCAAATGGCCAGAAGGACCGAAAAGACTTCGCTTTGTCTAGCCTTGACTAACGGAACTCGGACTGATGAGCAAAAACATGCAATTTTTCTCATGGGAAAAAATTTTTGTTCTAAGATCCTATGGATTTTATGTTACCTGTATTTTGATAAATTTAAATTGAAGTAATTTATTATTTTCGAAAGTTTCTATTTACTAATTGACTCTTAAGTATATGAGATGCTGACGATTTGAAGCCGTACTGCATGGGTGCAAAGAAATTTAAAGATAAAAACACGATTATTGGGCAAAAATTAATTTCATATGCTATTTTTCTTATTTCTATAACTATATAAAGAGATGAGGTCCAAGTAAATATTATTTGGCAACTAAAGGATGTTGCAGATTTGAATGATTGAATTATTTATAAAATCTCAACACCCCAACGGTTTTTACTTCCAATAAATCATTTATTGTTAGCTCAATAAGAAAATAATTTGCATTCTGCAAAATTTTCTCTCGCATCGATTAATTTTCCATGCAATACACGAGCAAAGCCTCGTAATATAAAACAATTACATAAATAAGAACAAAAAGATGTCCCCTAAACTTTATAATCGCAGCCAATGCTGCATGAGGGTCAATGATAAATGCTGCATAAATAAATAAATGACCGCAGCATAAATGCTGAGGGTCAATGAAATGCTGCATAAATTCTATGAACCTTAATATTGTTTTTTCATTTCCAATTTCCATGATTTTTTTCCATTTTTAACTGCAACTACGGAAGATATTCTTGAATATTCAAAAATTATGTAAATGAAGAAATTCGACGCGTAAAATTTTTATGTACCAATTATTTATGTGTAAAAAGTTAAAAGTGTAGCGTGCAATAACATTCGGCGAGGCAAGTTCACATCAAAGCTTAGCCTTCGATGGTTTCTTACGCTCTGAATAACTGAAAGACTTCGAGACATGGGCAAATTTTTTAGCTCGGGAACGAAAATCTACAGAAACGTGAACGGGGGAAAACTTTTAACAACTTTTAAAGTTTAACATGATTTTGACATTTCCTCTTCATTTGGTAGAATCGAATCAAATTAGATTATAGGAAATTTAAATGAGTATATTGTTCATGAGTATATTAACCTAATAAATAGGTAATAACCGCTCATGTTGAAATGAATAAAGGCAAAATCGTAATTTTTAATTCTTTACTCACCTGGATTTGTCCGGAAGCTAACCGTTCATGGAACAAGGGTAAGCCAGAGCTGGCGGAAGTTCGGCCATTCAAGCCGTTCGAAAATATTTGATATCCAATGATATAGGTATAAGTCTCACTAATGTATGAATGAGGTATGTCTCACTTCTAAATGATTAATGCATAAGTTTCACTTCTGAATGATTGATGTCTAAGTCTCACTTCTGTATGAGTGATGTATAAGTTCACTTCTCTATTAGAGTGGTTTCCAGATCTACTATTTTTCTGTATTTACAAAATAAATGTTTTTCCATACATAGGATTGGTAAGGTACCAATTCCAAAAGAACCTCTCAGTTTTTTTATGCGTTAGCCAAGTAACATCTAAACCTGGAAGCTCCGTATTGTAAAGACACCTGCAAATGCTTCTTACTAAGTTTTTAATCATAAAATGCAGATAATTCTTATTAATTATGATTGATAAGTCGTCTTGCTTGTAAAATACGACTATTAATTACTATACGCTTCTGAGCTCACAAGCTATTAAAGAATAGCGAGAAATTTAGTCACAATTTCTTATAATGAGCTGTTTAAAAAAATTACACGCTGAATAAAAAATTCGTTTATAGTGAAATTTAATCTAAATTCATGTAATGCATTACAGTTCTTTCATTTAACAGGATTATCGACGTGCGACATTTAGTCCCCGCAAGAATAATGTTCATGAGCACGAGCGTCACACCGACCACCACCGCGTCCGAGGTGCAACTGAGCTTCCCTCGGCCACCAGCGCGAGGGAGCGATGCTTACAGGGTGAAAAGAGGGAGAAGCGTCCCCATCTCAAATGCACTGCTATTGTTGCGAATACTCTAACTTTCTCATGAGATTATTTTGGAGAGCTGAAGTGGAGGCTCAACTTATCATGTAAAATAATTTAAAGAATTCAAGTTGCTGTTTAAGTACGATAAATGGAAAAAGCACCCATTTAATGGACCAGCACCCATTAAAATGTTGAAAAACTTCGTAAGTGTCCAGATATTTAGCAATTAACAATTTGATAGCCAAGAAAAAATTAAACAGTTAGTTAAACCATTATTTTTGTACAGGTCGAAAAACAATGTTTTTAAATGCAACTGTATTAAACCTATTTCATACAACAGTTAACATTTACCGAGATAAGACCGAGATAGTTAAATCCTGGACTTCATCTCCGTAGACTTGTTCTACCCACATTCATCGTCAGCTAAAATATACGCTGCTGCTGCTGCTACGGATATTACTAATGGAATTTTCTACCTTACTTAATTTTCTACATGCTGCACAGAGGTTAGTGGTATCTTTCATTGAAACTCTCTTAACTTTATTTATGTTCCATCTTCTCCATCTTAAAATTCTTATAGTTACCTTCATCTAGAAAGTCTTAACGCATATTTAAATTAAACTCTAACTGTAAAGCTCGATTGCGTATCACTAGAAAAAGATTTCGTCTAGATTTGAGTGAAAATAAATATTTGGTGCAAAATTTCTTTCACACTAGCCACTAATTTTATAATAGGCTCAATATTATGGAAATCGATGATACAATTATTATCCTGATGAATTCCAGTACATGCTATCATGCGATTAGGAAATGCACGCTAATGTAAAGCAAATTTGTATATTTTTCATCACTGTTGGTTTAAAAATTTCCAGCTGAGAAAGCAGAACAGAAGTTTTACTCACAGAAAATCGTAATCCAGCTTCCTGGAGACTTGGTTGAGGAACGGCTTGCACATATGCCTTCAATGTATAAAACGAAGTGTGAAATATCATTCGCACTTCATGCTTTTATATGCTTTGAAGCGTCAGTGTTATAAAACAGGAGGATGATCAGAGAGACTAGAAAAATTTTGTTTACAATTTCTCCAATGGCATGTCACAATATTAATAACATTCATAAAAATGTGACATGTTTAGAAACGAAATCCGAATGTTAATCAAAGTTAATTCTATGGCATGAAAGGACTTAATTAATTCCATGGCATGAACTAGAAGCACTTGGGAGGATGACTTATTTCTTTTCGGAGAGAATTACCTTATCTTGATTGGTCATTGTTCGCTCCTCCAACGTATTGAAGACTTAAACGATTATATTTTATATGCAATGGCTGTGCATTACGTGCTATGACTTCATTCACTTGTCTTTGATGAAACGGGAGAATGTGCAAATTAGTTAGTCTATAAAATTCACAATAATAACAATTATTAATAAGTGAAATTTCTAATTAAAAATTATTCCCAAATTTAGTGTATACACTAAATTAAAATAACATAGGGAAGTGTTATTGGAAGGAAAACTGTAAAAAAACATATAATTACCACAACAAGTGTCAAAAATATAACATACACTTATTGCTTCTGGCTTCACCGTTCTTCCGAAAATACTTCCATTCGTTCGGAAATACTTTAATTTAGAATTTCCAAGACATCCTGGACGCAATATCTGACATTCAGTCAGGAAATAAAGTGAAGACTTGAGGAGCCTTCACGGCACCTGCCTTCATGCCAAGGAAGGCTAGTGCCAATAAAGACCAACGAAGAGCTTTTCGATTAGCTTTTGGTGTATCGGCAATTGAAGAGAATTCGTATGCGTGGTTGCGGTAAGCAATTCGAAAGCATCTCTTGGACTTATTGCCTGCACGCGTGACTAAAATAGGGATTTCAACTTTTACTCCAACAACCGATTCCGAATGGCAAATATTTGAGAAAGTCATGCATCAAGCAGGCATCTCCATGCCAGCCTTAGTTCTATCAGACACGATGCCTGAAAACAAGGTAAAGGATAGGGATAAAATCAAAGGAAAACGCAATCCACTCTTATCATGCATAAATATTTTGAATGAGAATGACGCTTGTTGTGATTAATAAACCCAGCCAAAATGATAGACATACATGATAACACCTTTGCAGCAACAATAAGTCCTCGTATATATTCGGAAATATTATGTTGGCCGAAAATATAATATAGGTGAGCAAGCAACATCTGAGACTAGATATGGAATTTATTGAACTCTTCCTTTTTAAGTAGGGTAAAGGCATTTAAATTTAAGTGATGCATTAGAGAGGAATGAAAATTATATACAATGCGTTGAACGTTAAATTAAATTAGTATCAAAATTAAAGTTAAATTGAAGACTTGAACTTTGGATGTGCTGGGCCATTTCTTCGTGCTCCCAGTTATGCCCTGCTAGCGATGGCCATTGCTTCGTGCTCCTAGTTATGCCCTTCTAGCGATGGCAATTTCTTCGTGCTCCTAGTTATGCCCTGCTAGCTATGGCCATTGCTTCGTGCTCCTAGTTATGCCCTGCTAGCGATGGCAATTTCTTCGTGCTCCTAGTTATGCCCTGCTAGCTATGGCCATTTCTTCGTGCTTCTAGTTATGCCCTGCTAGCAATGGCCATTGCTTCGTGCTCCTAGTTATGCCCTGCTAGCGATGGCCATTTCTTCGTGCTCCTAGTTATGCCCTGCTAGCGATGGCCATTTCTTCGTGCTCCTAGTCAGCCTTGCTGGCAATGAATGGCTCGCTTACCAACTTCTTGGGTTATTCTTCTCAAAAATTTACTCGAAAAGTTCGAAATGGTGAGACCAGCTCGACTCAGGAGGAGTTCAGATTATGTGTTTCGGGAACACAGGGCATTAAACCCCTGTGATGCCATCTAGTGTACTGAGCGTTAAAAACTATATGTGAAAGTGTGACGCATTTTCCAAAACTTTAATTGTCAGCATTTAGCTTATACTGCTTGACGCGCAAAATAAAAAATTTCAATATCAAGTATATAATTTTGCGACTAATTCGGTCAGATTCCGCCTGTTATATAATGTTGAAAATCCTGAGTTTCTGGAGGAATGATTCTGTAAGTCTATTAAAACTGTTACCAGCGCAATAATACTGCATAATCCTAACAAAAGTGACACTATGAATAATAATATAATGACTTTCTTTCGGATTTTTCAAAAATATGAAGTGTGCTTTACAAGAGGAGGCATATTTGCTTTTTTCTGAATGAAATTTACAAATTTCACCAATTAAAGTTGCCAGGTATTCTACTATGCAAAAATACGACACAGGCATACGGGTCGTAAATTTACGAGTAGTAAATGAATCATGAAAAAATATATTCACAAAACAATTATTAGTAATGTGATCTGTCCGTACGAATACGAAACTAGCGTCTCTGAAAGGAATACAAACCATCCAATAAACACATCGTATAGGAACACAAAAACTCAAGATCAACTGAATTTTCAAAACTCGAGACCAACTTTCAAGAAACGGGAAATGTTTTTGAGACAAACGCCACTTTTCAGGAGCATAGCCGACTTGTTAAAATATGAAACCGACATCCTCGCAAAGATCTTTCTCCGAAGCATATTTCAGGAAAACAACAGAACCGTAAAATTACGAAACATTTTTCCAGAAATGGTTAAACTTGCCTCGATAGAATAAGGGCATTTTAAGCACAAAATGCAAACAATAAACCTCTTTTTGGACCAAAATTTCCACATTCTTCATTTGAAAAGCATTAGCCAGGTATGAGACTGAGTTGTTGCTTTATTCGTGTGGCTGACGCAAGTGTGACACAAAAAGCCAAGCACCACTTCAAACTATTCGTGTGGCTGACGCAAGTGTGACACAAAAAGCCAAGCACCACTTCGAACTATTCGTGTGGCTGACGCAAGTGTGGCACAAAAAGCCAAGCACCACTTCGAACTATTCGTGTGGCTGACGCAAGTGTGACACGAAAAGCCAAGCACCACTTCGACTATTCGTTTGGCAGCCGCCTCTGTGGCACACAAAGTTAAGCGTCACTATTCATGTGGCTGTGCGACATACAGAGGCTGGTGCCGCATCAAAAAAGTTCGTGTGACTGTCGCCTTTGTGGCATACAAATTCAAGCATCACGTCTCGTCCAGCGTTGCAAGGCGACTTAAAAAACCGGCGAAAAACTGTGTGAAATTCTTGATTACTGAACGCCATGGACTTAAGAATTTATTTAATAGAGTTTCCTTAATTTGATAAGTTTTTAAACTCAATGAATTTTTTAATCGTTTGGTCTAAAATTCATCGTAATTGAATGTAATGTCTGTCTCGTTCACCTTCATAAATTAAAATCTACTAACCCTTATAATCAGTCAGGAATATTAAACCATGAAAATAAGCGAAACAAATGCGTCTGCCAAATATTGAACAGAAGGAAAACCATTCTCGAAAAATCTCCACACTTGACGTTTAGCGCTGCTAGCGAGCGTGAGTTTAATAAATACATGAATTATAACAGGGTTATTTTTTTTCTATGAAACATCTAAATTATACCTTACTCATATTATATATTCAACGAATAAAGCCTCAATGTCTCCATTCCAGTAAATTGATGATTACTTTGTTACCTATTAATTTATTTTATCATATTTGAATGAACATTCGATTATTTGCAATAAATTTAGCTGATTCGGGAAAGTATTGTTAAATTATTTGGGCAATATTCATTCACACCAGGAACTTGACAACAATGTTATTGTAAAAAATTCATATTAACTAAGAACAAGATAATAAATTTATTGTAATTAATTCAGCGG